ATCACACAAAATGTAAATGTGGAGCCACACAATGATCATTTTTAATTAATTCTGAAAGGTCTCATTAGCAAATAAATTAGGCTGTGGAGGCCTCTGTGATATTTCAGGTATAGATTTTTTTTTAATTGTGTTTTTTTTTTCAGCATATGCTTATGTATCACTCAGGCGTACAAGAATTAAAATATTTCTCAGACCCCACATTTGTTGGCTGTGAAGTTTTTGGCTTTTCCAGCATTTTTTTGTTTTTTTTATTTGGGTAATGTCAATAACCATTCCATCCTCACTGGCTAAAAAACAATTTTCAACACCACGGATGGGATCCCATCCCCATGTTGGGTTTCCACATCAAACAATGAAAATTGTTCAGTTTCATGTCCCAGTAACAGCACAGGCCCCCTTTAATCCCCAAAATCTGCAGCCTCTGAATAAACCCAGCCCTCARAAAGTTCATCAGAAACCTCATTTTGGTTTTAGGACTTGGTAATTCCCGTTTGCATGGCGATTACTCACAGGATGCCAACTTTGTGCTGCGAAATTATTTTGGATTTTGGGTTCCCTGCTGCATAACTGAGTTAATTTCTTTAAATTGCAGCGAGTTGTGCAGCCTTTTTTTTTTTTTTTTTGCCAAAAAGGCATTCTCCCTGAAAGTTTATTCTTCCTTTGGATCTCTTTTTGAAGTCTTGCCTTTTTGGTAAACTTAAACTCCATTAACACATCTGGAGAACTGCTGATTTTCACATTTCCTGACATTTTTACCCATAAATTAAGACAGAGGAGAGGACCCACAGCTGGTGTGAATCACTGAGAGSACTAATAATGTCAGGGGAGCTCTGCTGACTTGCACCAGCTGAGGTTTTGGCCCCAGATTTGCTCCCATGGATGGATATTTCCCTGCAATGATGCAGCAGGACCACGAATTTTCCTAATTTTCCTTTCCTGGGAGGATGAAATGTCCTGTAGGGCCAACCCAGCACACCCTAAATATGATTCTGCCCAAAGTTTTGTCCTTGAGCAGCTCTCAGGGGGATCAGGAAAGAGGAAAAACCCACATGGATGGAAATATTTCCCAAAAAAAAAAAAACCTGAGTAATCCACGCCTCTGCCTTTGAACCATGATGTTACTTTCCTCATTTTTTTTTGTAATTAAAATTATAATTAATTAAATAATTAAAATTAATCGGTTCCAATAATTAAAATAATTGGTTCCAACCATGAGCTGGCATTTTAACGAGAGAGGGGACCTCAGTTTTCACCATCTGAATTTCTCAGTGTGTTCATCTTTTCCCAGATTTAATAGTTTAATAGTTTAATAGTTCCCTTTCTTCATTCAGACATGAATCCTAATAAAGGCTTGACACCTTCACAGAGGTTAAAATCTGATATACCAGACAATATCTGGATAATATCTGATTTTCCTTCAGTGGAATAAAAACAGCAGCTCGTGGGCAGAGAATTTTCACAGCTTTAACACAGGAAAATCAGATTTTTGTGCCCTGAATGAAGCTCATGGCTACAGGTGAAATTTTGGCTTTAAATGACCACTGACCTGTGGGAGAAATCCTTTGGGAAAAAAGGAAAGATTTCCATAAAAAAGGTAAAAAAARTGGTGTCATGGAAAAGGGGGAAAAGCCTCTCACAAAAAAGAGTTCACCACGGGCAGACAGAGSTGTTTAAAATGGAATATTAAATATATGCAGGTAAATGGAAGTTTACATGTGATTAAAAATGTGAGGATATTCCCTTTTAGAGCTATGCAAGAGTGACTGTAATATAAGGTGAATTATAAAGGCATTTTTCTTCTTAATTCAATTTAGAATGGAAAAAGATAATAAAAAATGTTTTACATTTTGGCAGTAGTAGGAACATTCAGCTTCCAGATACAGTTTATGCTGGCATTTATTCCTAGAAATTATATAAAAACAGGCCCATCCACTTCCAAATGATCCTGAAAAATGTAAACCCCAGCAAGTCTTGGAAAACTTGCTGGATGYAGTTTTGAAATTACTGTTGAGGGATTTTTTTTCCCTAAGTTGGTGAAGAAAATGGAATTTTTCCTGCTGATTTCAGTCATCTCAGGAAAGCAGTGGAGTCAGAAATCATCAGAGCCCAACCCATACCCGGCCTGAAGAAAAATTAATGAAAACTAGAGGAAAAAAAAAAATAAAAAAAATCAAGAAATAGCTGAATAGAATGAATCCTGAGACATCCATGTGTGGCATTTCCCTAAGCTGTGAGCATTGAACAGCCTGGTCTCAGCTGAGCTCACCAGACAGACATCAAAAATAATAAATAAAAATAAAAATAAAAATAAAAATAAAAATAAAATTAAAATAAAAATAAAAAAAATAAAAATAAAAATAATAAAAATAACAATACAAATAAAAATACAAATACAAATACTAATACTAATACTAATACTAATACTAATACTAATACTAATACTAATACTAATACTACTAATAATAATATACAAATAAAAGTACAAATATAATAATAATTAAAAAATAATAATAATAAAGATAAAGATAAAAATAAAAATAAAAATTAAAATAAAAATAATACAAATACAAATAATAATAATAAAACAAATAAATACAAATAAATAATAATAATAATAATAATAATAATAATAATAATAATAATAATAATAATAATAATAATAATAAAAACAAGAATAAATAAAAATAATAATAGTAATAACAAACTTGTTCAATTACACAGCAAATGAAGAATATTTTCAATTGCAGCCACCACAAAGGTAATGTTCACCCAGGGAATCAAAAGTTCCCCAAGAAGCCTCTGGCTGCACCTGCATCCATCACCACATCTCCACAATTCCACAGTCTGGAATTCCCTCAAGAAATCACAACTTAGAGCAAAAYTTCAAAACCCAGGATGATGTTAAATATTGTCTTCAGCTCGTATTTATCCCTTCTAATATCTGACATAATTTCCAATAAGAGCTCTAGATCAGTTCTCACCATTCCTATTCATTAATCATTTATTTAGTCCCACAGAACTGAAATTTTTTTAAGGGATTTGCATCCTTTGAGTTGCAAATTCCCAATTAATTAATTAATCAATTAGCTTGGCATTGGAAGCAAGGTCCTGATGTGAAGAGAACATTTTGGTTT